TCCGGTGAGGGGCCCAGATCCCTGCTCACACACTTCAGCAGGCCTGGGGCACAGTTCACTGACCCCTTCCTCCAGGGTCCCTCTACATACATACACACATGGGGGGATGCGGGGGTGGGGGCCAGGCTCACTGGTTTCCTCCTCCCATTACCAGAAAGGGCCAGGCCCCCAGGGCAGGCATTGCAATAGGTCAGAAAGCAGGGTGCTAATAGGGGTTGTTGGGGGGAGAGGAGCAGGTAGATGTGGGGGGCAGTAAATGGGGGAGCTGCTGCCCACCCATCCCAATTCGGTGAGGGGCCTAGATCCCTGCTCACATACTTCAGTGGGCCTGGGGGCACAGCTCACGGACCCCTTCCCCCAGGGTCCCTCTACACACACACGGGGGGGGGGGGGAGAGAAGGAGGGGGAGCCAGGCTCACTGGTTTCCCTCCCCCCATTACCAGAGGGGACCAGGCCCCCAGGGCAGGCATGGCAATGGGTCAGAGAGCAGGGTGCTAATGGGGGCTGTTGGGGGGAGAGGAGCAGGTAGATCTCGGGGGCAGTAAATGGGGGAGGTGCTGGGGCGGGCAGCAGAGAAGGAGGGGCGGAGAGGGGCCGGTGGGGACCCCATCTCCTCCCCTCCTCTTTACCTGCATCTTCCGGATGTTCTCCCGCTCCAGCCCCTGCACCATGCTGTCGATGGCCTCCTGCATCCTGCTCTGCTGAGCCTCGGCCATACCGCCCGCCCGGCAGCGCGCACATGGGCCAGAGGACACCGGCCGCCCCCTGCGTTCACCTCCGGGTCAGCGCAGCCCGGCGCTTCCGAGGGGGCGGGGGAAAGGGGGTCCCTGCCTGGGGGGAACAGCGGCCTCTGGTGCCCGGCTGCGGGCATTGCAAGCCTGGGATTCCCCCCGTCTGCCTCTGCTGAGAGACTCGCTCACCCACCGTCTACACATCACCAGCACGTCTTGTGTCATACTCGTGCTCAGCCACGTGGATAGATAGATGGGGTGGATGGGGATAGATAGATGGGGTGGTGGGGATAGATAGATAGAGCGAGGGGGTGGATGGGGATAGATAGATAGATGGGTTGCGTGGGGATAGATAGATAGTTGGGGTGCGTGGGGATAGATAGATGGGGTGTATGGGGATAGATAGATAGATAGATGCGGTGTATGAGGATGGGTAGATAGATAGATCGAGGGGGTGGACAGACAGACAGAAGAGGAGTGTCTGGGGATAGAGAGAAGGAAAGGACAGAGATGGCAGGAAGATTTGATCCCATCTGATCCCATCCAGTAGAGGGCAGCGGTGCACAAGCCAGCCAATTATAGTATAGAGGCAGGGGACAGGGAGCAGGGGGAGGGTTGGATGGGTCGGGAGTTCGGGGGTGGGGGCTGTCGGGGTGGGGAGAGGGGGAGGGAGAGGGATTGGAGCAGTCAGGGGACAAGGAGCAGGGGGAGGGTTGGATGGGGCGGGAGTCCTGGGGGTCTGTCTGGGGGCAGGGGTGTGCATAAAGGTTGGGGCAGCCAGGGGACAGGTAGGGGGGCAGTTAGGGTGGGGGGGTCTCAGGAGGGGGCAGTCAGGGGACAAGGAGCGGGGGGGTTAGAGGTTCTGAGTGGGGCGGGAAGTGGGAGGGAGTGGATGGGGTGGGGCTCTCCCCCACGCTCTTTTTTGATTGTTGAAATATGGTAACCCTAAAAAAGCGGTGCCCTGGCTCAGCAGGGAGGAGCTGCCTTCTGGAGGCACCGGAGAGCCAGAGCGTCGGCTTGCGGGGGCAGCGAGCCCCAGCCATGGAGGAGCCGGCATGGTACAGGGTGGGAGCAGCCCTGCAAAGACGGCAGCACTGCTAGCAGCGAGCAGCTGCCCCCCCGCCCCTCCTACCCAGGCAGTGGCCTGGTGCCCCCCCCCAGGGGCTCCTGCAGGCTGCAGCAGATGCATGTGCCCCCCCAGCTCCCGTGCGCTCCCTGTCTCCCCCCTCGCCACACTTGGGCTCTACGGCTCCCGGGCATGTGAGCCGCTGGGGCGCGGGGCCCTGAGCCTGTTCCAGAAGGGGCAGCGGTGGCGGTGGCTCACACTCCTGGGAGCCGCAGAGCCTGAGCACGACGAAGGGACAGCCAGGGGGCACATGGGGAGCCGACGCCCGTATGCATCCGCTGCAGCCTGCAGGAGCCCCCGGGAGGGGGCGGGGGGCACGCCGGGCAGGAGGGGCAAGAGGTGCGGCTGCTCTCCGCTAGCCGCGCTGCCGCCTTTGCAGGGCTGCTGCCCCCCTGCACCGCACCAGCTCCTCCATGGCTGGGGCTTGCCGCTGCCGCAAGTCGACACTCTGGCTCTCTGGTGCCTCCGGATGGCGGCTCCTCCCTGCCGAGCTGCTGCAGCAGCCCAAGCCCAGCAAACCCAGTGAGTGGACTCAGGGCAGGGGCTGCCGGGGTGGGGTGAGGAGGGGAGGGCTCGCGGGGGGGCTGTGCACCCTCCAGTGGAGTTCAGGGGGTGAGGAGGAGGGAACCTGGTCTGGGGAGCAGTCCCTGGGCACAGCTGGCCCCTGGGGTCTATAAAGGCTTGTTGGGATTTGCCCCTCAATGAACCGATGTGCGGGGGGTGGGGGGGAGTGGAGGGAGGGCACAAGCTAGAAGTTTCGCCTAGGGCGCAAAATATCCTTGCACCAGCCCTGGCTGTGACCCAGGCCATGACCCAGGCCAGTGGAATGGTTACAGTTACATGGTTACAGTTCTTTCAGACATAAGGCCGCTGGTGGCTTTCCAATCCAGTCCACTTGGTCAATGCCTATTGGTGAAGTCAGTCCGCAGATTGGGATGGCTCCATGTCCACTCTGGGCTGCTACGTCAATGTGTATTTAAGATTCTTAAGACTGTGGATTATTGATGTGACAGACCGTAACAGTCTGCTGTAGCAACACGCGTTAGTGTAATTAATACTCAATATATTCCAGGGACTATTCTCTGCATTCATACTAAAAATCCTTAGGCCAGTGGGACGAATTCACTCATAAGCAAAGGGCTTAAATCTCTCTTGAGGTGTTGTGCTGGCCCTCTGGTCAGGGCGAATTTCACGCCGTGTTCATTCATCCGGAGCAGTAGCAGCTGCGTAAATATTGTTTTCCTGCTCTTTTAAGTTTAAAAATGTGGAATCAGAGGCAATAGCCTGCAGTGTGTCATCTATGTATGAATCTTTGCTAGCCTTCAGCCTTGATTAGGAGAGAATAGTAAATCAGGTGACAAGGGGAAATACTTTACCATTCACAGGGTTCTGAAAATCATTCGGGCTGACAGCAGTGTGTGACTTACCTTTACCTGGAATTGTCTGACAAGTGACTTGCTCAAAGTCTCAACCGTGCTTTAGCCAATTTAAAGCCATCACCTCTCTGCCTCTAAGGCCTTGTGCATGTGGGGAAAGCTTTTTTCAATATAATCTAAGGCGTGAATGTAAAGCGATACAAGTCTGACATAAGAGCAGATTTTTCCGGTTTAGCTTGTGTGGTTTGGGAAAAGGGTTTTAAGCTGAACCAAAAAAAGCTCGTACACTGGAATAAGAGTGTCCTCAGAGAGGGTACACCTGTCTAAACAGTAGGTCTTGTCTACATGGAAAAGGTTTTTAAGTCACTTCCTCCAACCTCTAGCGACTAGGGGTCAGCAATCTTTTAGAAGTGGTGTGCCGAGTCTTCATTTATTCACTCTAATTTAGGGTTTCATGTGCCACAGTAATACATTTTAACGTTTTTAGAAGGCCTCTTTTTATAAGTCTATAATATATAACTAAACTATTGTTGTATGTAAAGTAATTACGTTTTTTTAAATGTTTAAGAAGCTTCATTTAAAATTAAATTAAAATGCAGAGGCCCCTGGTGAGTGCCACTGAAAATCAGCTCACATGCCATAGGTTGCCTACCCCTGCTCTAGCCACCCAAAATGTTTAGTGGAGGAAGTACAGTTGAATGGCAGGGCAATGGGTCTGAAAAGCAGGACTCCTAGATCGAGCCACAGCTCTGCTATATGAACATGGGGCAGGTTGCTTGGCCGCTCCGTGGTTCAGTGTATTACCTGTAACTTCGGTGTGATAACACTGACCTAACTCTCAGGCGTGTTTTGAGGCTTGCTTTCATGTCTAACTACTTTGAGATGTTAAAGTGAAATATTTCACGGGCAAACCCCTCTTCATAAATATTTGCCACGCTGCTTGTCAGTTCTTTCCTCAACAGGAGACCAGTTTCGGGGGATCACAGATGCTTCAAAACAACGTAGTTTTGGTTTCCTAGACATGGAGCGCATTGCATCTACATTCTCTTTCAGTATCCCTGTAGGCCTGGCTATAGAGCTTGTGTTTCTGACCTCAAAGGTGAGGTTCTGTCACAGGAAACAGTAGGAAGAACAACGCTTAGAAGTCTTTAGTCAAACCAAAGGTGGCCCTGTAGCAAACATTCAGATGCCCAGACTTGTTACAGTTCATCAGCTCCTCCCTCATATTTTCATCTTTGTGGCTTTGAGGGTATTTATTTTTTGTTCCAAGTTTACCAACATCTTGTAAGAAATATGTTTATTTGCACATCTTTAGAACCATAGATTGAGGTAGTCCCAGAGCACCCGTTTGAGGCACAGCCAGTCAGCGTTACTATCCCTGTTTTACGGGGGAGTGATATGAGGCACAGGGAAGTTAAGTGATTTGCTAGGGACATGCACTGAGTTAGTAGCAGAGCCAGGGACAGAACCCAGTAGCCTGATGAAAAATAAATTGTTATGTGTGAAAATCTTTGTTTTTTTACAAACATCTGCCCGCCCCCAAATTGTGGTTAATAAACCAAAATTCAACAATTTTCAGTTTGAAACAAAGTCTCATTTAAAATTCATTGGAAGAAATCTAGTGTCATCACCATCCAACTGGTTTAGTTTCAACTAAATTGCATTTTTTGACTACGCTAGTCGTGTCCCCTTCAGTGGCCTCGCTCCTCTTGTTACTAGATTAGTTTGCCATCGGATATAGAACAGCGATAGCCCTACATCTGTAATATGGTCTTCCTGTTCACAGCTTTTGTCCGGAAAGATGCCCTGCCCTTGGGTACCTTCTCCAAATACACCTGGCACATTACCAACATCCTGCAGGTCAAGCAAAGATTTGACACTCCTGAGGTAAGGCCTGTTTGTTCTCCTGGTTCCTCTCTAAAGACCAAGCAGGGAGCCCAGCTGGTTAGGTCAGCAGGCTGGAGAGGAGACAGGGCAGAGCTAGACACTGCTCCCGCAAACACAAGCATTGAGTTCAACGGGGCTACTCACCTGGGTAAAGTCAGATCTATTTGCAACCACGTTTTATCAGCATGGCCTTGTCATGTAGCAGCCTGAAACCCCCCTATGTAGACTCAGCTTATACCAGCAAGTGTCTTTTTGCTGGTATAGCTTGTGTCATTCAGGGAGGGGAGGTGGCTTAAGTATACCTGGAAAAGAACTGCTTCTCCACTAGGGGGCGCTGCTGGTTTAGTTATATTGGCAAAGCCTTTATAGTGCAGACAAGCCCATAGAGTTTGCAGAATTGGGGCCCTCAATTGCTTCACAACAGAGTGATTCTGAGCTGGAAAGTCTGCAATCAGCGGAAAGCATTATTTGGCAGAATTCCTTCGGTGGGAACATTTGAGCAGGGATCAGGCGAGCCTAGTCCAGCCTCAGCTAGAGGGACTAACTGATCACCACAGCTGGGGTCAGACAGGAATATCTCCCAACAGCTTAGAAGCAAGGGCTTTGGGGATGGATGGGAGGGGAGGGTTCTCTCTTCTTTCTTCTGGAGCTCTGGGCAGGGACTGTAAGCTCAGATGGGCTTACCCCTCACTGTCCACTTTCTGGGTTTGTAGAGGTGGTGGGCAGGCGCGTGTGAAGCTGAGGTTTTACACCCCCGCTCTGCCTTGTTCCTGAGAGTCTGCAGGCTAAGGGACAGTGCCAAATACAGCTTGGTGGTGGTTGACGGCCACTAAAGCTCTATGCTGATCATCTGTGCCTGGCTTCTGTTGCAAGATGCCCTTGGAAATCACACGCAGCATCATCCAGAACCGGGATGGGACCTATGAGCTGTTTAAGTGCCCGAAGGTTGAAGTGGAGAGCATCGCGGAGACATACGGGCACCTGGAGAAGCAGCCGATTCTCCGGCCCTTGGAACTCAAAACCTTCCTCAAAGTTGGTAAGTTTATAACAGAGGGAAGAAGAGTGAAATCAACCTAAGCAGCTGTTAGCTCCTGACCGGATCCTACCACTCTTGTTTGAGAAAAGAGAGAACTGTCACCCAGTGGTCTGAGCATAGGGGGATGGGGGGGGGGAAACAGACGGGACACCTGGGTTCATTTGTGTGTGAGGAGTCCTTAGTTCTGGCCATACTGGGTCAGATCACTTGTCCATCTAGCCCAGCTCTACCACTGACGCTGTGGGTGAAATTCACATCCTTGCAGAGGGTCGGAACAAGATCTAGGCGCCACTTATTTCCACTAGTGTCCAGGCCTCGTGCTGATAAACTTCACCCTGCCTCAGTCTGAGCGAGTGGCCTCACCTCTCTGTGTCCCCAGAGCTAGACAGGGCTAGTGATGCTTTGTCCTCCTTTGTAAGTGTGTTGGATGAAATCAAGTGCCAAGTACTGTCAGCTTCACCACTCGTGTCATTGTCCTGTTAAAGACCTTTGAGAAAACCCTTTCGTTGCAAAATGGGGATGGTTTTACATCATGGTAGTACGTAGAGGCCCCACTGTGTTTGGTGCTGTATAATCATGTCCTGAAACGTGGCCCACCCAAAATCTTACAGTCTAACAGACAAGACAACGACTGGAAGCAAGCAAGCGTTATTCTAATGAAGGGGCGGGGCATTGAGTCTCAGGTGACATGATTTAATTCTGTGGCGAAAGTGGCCAGGAATTCTGGTTTGAGCCCGTGTTTGTGGGGTTCATTTTTTAAAGCAATCTTCATTATTATGGCACAATTAATGCCACTTGGGCAACCTGGGTGTGCCCACAGATTAGGTACTTGGACATCTAAATGACTGGCTATGCCTACAGATACCCAGCCTTAATTTTCAGCCTAGCTTTAACCAGGCCTGTCTATGAGGTCATTTTATTACCTCCGGCTAATACACTGTTAGCGTGATACGGCTGAAATGCTACCTCCTCTTGCTTCTTTTCCCCCAGGCAACACATCACCTGATCAGAAGGAACCGACCCCGTTCACTATTGAATGGAGCCCAGATATTTTACCCCAGTCCAAGATTGGTGAGCTGAGGATTAAGTTTGAATATGGCCATCACAGGAATGGACATACCACTGAATACCAGGAGCAACGCCCTTCACTAGAACAGACCCTGGAGCTGACGCCTCTAACCACCATCACCTTTCCTTGACCTAACACCCAGCTCCTCTCCCCGCTAAGTTTGCACAGCCCTGTTCCGTGGGCTCTCGGCCCGGGGCAGTATTAGCATTGAACTTGTACGGGGTTCCGTAGTGAACTGCTCTGTAAAGCTGATGTTTACTGATTTCTAAATAGTCACCGGATCTACACTAGAAGAAAGACACCTCACCTGCTCTATAAATAGCATACTTTGATGCTGCTTCACATGTAGTCTTCACTCAAACTGTCCTGTATTCAGAACACACCTCTGCATTCCCAGTCACCAGGACGCATTCAAACCTTTGGGTTGTAGTTCCTTTCTATCGCTTCCCCCTGGAAAACAGACTTATCTACAGCTCACAGTATATTACGAAGGGAGCTAGATCCTTGTATTACTACATGAACCATCATGGCATAGTCTGATTTTATGCCATACGTTAAAATATTTTTTTTTAAATAAAGCACACTGGAAAACGGTGCTGCTTTTTTATTTCAACCTCTTTTGGCAGGAGGAAGGCAGTTTTAAAAGGAGATAAACCCCTGTAATAAGGTCCCTTTGTCCGTTCTGTCTCTGGACTTACAATGCTGTTAGCCAATCGGGGGTGGCTCCAGGCACCAGCGCACCAAGCATGTGCCTGGGGCGGCAAGCCACGGGGGGCGGCCTGCCGGTTGCTGTGGGGGCAGCAGTCAGGGAGTCTTCGGCGGCGTGCTCGCGGGAGGTCCGCTGGTCCCGCGGCTTCGGTGGCAATTCGGCAGCGGGTACGCCGAAGCCACGGGACCAGCAGACCTCCCGCAGGCATGCCACTGAATCCGCATTACTAGCAGACCTCCCGCAAGCATGCTGCCGAAAGCCGCCTGACTGCTGTGCTTGGGGTGGCAAAATACATAGTCTTCCTCCGGGGCGGCTCTATCTGTTTTATGCTTGTATGCCTTTGTTATGCTTTTTGGTGTCTTCTTCATTGCAATTTACTTGATACAAACCAAAGTTTATACATTGCCTATTTCTTGTGTTAATTGCATACTGCAATAGAATAATAATATAAAAATATCTTGCATTTATAGAACAACTAAGGAATCCAAAATATGCTAAAGTTCAGAACATTTATGATTTTGTACGGTTATAAGGTTGTCGTCTCCTCTTCAAAATGTGGCATCTGTCCCAGTTTGACAGCCAAAAATAAGAGCTGGATTTAATCTAAATTCTTATACCATGTCCATCACCATGGTATTTGTGTGCTGACGAATGAGTGATACACCAAATGGAGAAAAAAATCCATTGTTTGGTGTTGGAAAACTGGGCTCAAATCTGTGGAATGAGTTCAGTGCTCTCACCCTGTTTCTTGGCGTTTCTGAGCAAAGGGTATCGGAGGGGATCACTACCAGAACTGACATTAATTCAGCAAAACTATTGATCTGTCCATATGACAGGGTCCAGGACTAATATAACAGATGGTGCTGCAGACTGCAGTTGAGACTGTGACACTCTATACCTTGAGAGAGCGCCTTGTAACCCACATATTCATCATTTGTATATAATGGTGATATTTCACATAAAGCATGTCATGTAAGGTATCATGGGAAAGGTTATTATGTGTTGAAAGCCACTGTTCTAACTATGTATATCATTAGTGCATATGCAGTTATGAGATTGTGTTGTATGGTTGTCACTAAAATCAGGGCTGGCTCCAGGCACCAGCGCAGGAAGCAGGTGCTTGGGGCGGCACGTCCGGGTCTTCAGTGGCAAGTCCCTCAGTCCGGACTGGCCGCTGAATTGCCGCCGCAGAATGAAGCAGCGCGGTAGAGCTGCCACCGAAATGCCGACGATTGCGGCTTTATCTTTTTTTTTTTCCTTCCCCTCTTCGCCGCTTGGGGCGGCAAAAAAGCTGGAGCCGGCCCTGTAGCCAGTCATGCCTGTGATGGGCGAGTGAACTCGGCTACAGCAGGGTTCGTAAGACTTGCTTCAGAGAGCAGCAGCTGCACCAAGCAATACAGTGCACGGCCGCTGCTTTTTCCTTCTCCTGCCAGTTGTAGGCCCTAATCCCAAAGCTAGGGTTACCATATTTAAAAAACAAAAAAAAGAGGACACTCCACGGGCCCTAGTCCCGCCCCTTTCCCACCCCCGGCCCCACGCCAACTCCGCCCTTTCCCCGCCCCTTCCCCAAAGTCCCCGCCCTAACTCCCCCTCCTCCCTCCCAGCCACGCGAAAAGGGCTGCCCGAGTGCTACCGGCTTTACGGTTTGCCGCGCAGCCTCCAGACCCCGTGCCCCTGGCCAGCGCTTCCCCCTCCCGGGCTCCAGCTGTGCTGGGGAAGTGCTGGCTGGGGGCGCAGGGTCTGGAGGCTGCCCGGCAAACCATGAAACCAGTAGCACTCGGGCTTCAGGCAGCCCCTATGCCTCTGGACCCTGCGCCCCCGGCCGGGCACTTCTCCTCCCCGGCTCCAGCTGCTCTGCTCCTCCCCGGACTCAGACTTCGGCTCTGTTTAAGAGCCAAGCTGCCCAAGCCAGCGCTACCGGCTTCGGGCAGCCCCCGTGCCTCCGGATCCCAGCCGCCGGCTGGGCACTTCTCCTCCCCCGGCTCCAGCTGCTCTGCTCCGGTGGCGCAGGGTCTGGAGGCACGGGGGCTGCCCGAAGCCGGTAGCGCTGGCTTGGGCAGCTTGGCTCTTAAACAGAGCCGAAGTCTGAGTCCGGAGAGGAGCAGAGCAGCCGCGGGAGGGGAAGTGCCCGGCCGGTATTTTTCCCGGACATGTTCGGCTTTTGGCAATTCCCCCCGGACGGGGGTTTGATTGCCGAAAAGCCGGACATGTCCAGGAAAAAACGGACGTGTGGTAACCCTACCAAAGCTGTTGATGGCTGAGTCTTTCCACAGCTTTGGATCAGGTCCCTCCTCCAAGCCCTGGTCACGTGTTTCCTGTTCAACAACAGCTCGGGTGTGTGCAAAACACTCAAGACCAAGAGTGGCAGGATCAAAATCAAACAGGAAGTACACAACAGCTGTAGGAGGTTTAGGTTCACTTCCCCCTTCTGCTTGATTTGAAACCTCATCTCTTCCCACTCAAATGAATGACCTTGGTGCTGGGCTAGGAGGCAATCTGACGGGAGAACTGCCTTAATCCTTTGTTGAATCTGTTCCACTTTCACTACATATTAACTGGGCCAACATACCCTACTGAAGCCCCCTATGGTGTGGGGATTAGGGTGCTCAACTAGCAGGTGGGAGACCCTTGTTCAAATCCCCACTCTACCTGCTCAGAGGGTCTCTAGCTGATGAGATAATAGCCCGGGACAAGGGCCATTTTACAGGGCCTCTTGTTCCTTTTAATTAAAGATTAATTGCAGCTGGATGCAACCTCTCCCCCCCTCCCACTCACTCACTCTTTATCCACCATGATGAGGATACACACCCAGGCTATGGCAGACCCCAGGGCACTCCCCTGCTCTTTTGAGGGATGTGAACTGGGGGCTCCCACCTCCTGGGGAGAGTCACAGGGGGGCAATCCCTGTCCAAATCCCCTCCCTGTCCCAAGAAGACAATGGCCTCCTGAGAAAGAGAGGGGGGTTCAGACAAGGATGGCCCATCTCAAAGGACATCACCAAGGAGGCAGGAAATCCCTGTGCAAACCCCTGCTGAACAGGCAGCTGGGGGATTTGAACCAGGATCTCCTACAACCCAGGTGAGTATCCTAACCACTGCACTAGAGAGTGGGGATTGTGTTGGCCCAAATCACATTAATTAACGTGAAACAGCTTCAACAGGCAAGAGGGAGGTCACCTACCTCCCCCCCCACCCATCAGTCTAACAAAAAAATGAGGGTATACAAACACCAGGGCATATTTGAACCCACCTCTCCCACACCCTAGCTACTGGACTGCAGGTAGTTGCTGGCCCAACTAACATTTAATTAAAGTGGAACAGCTTCCAGAGGCAAGAGCCCAAAGTTCAGGGCACACCCACCATAGCTGCATTCAACACCTGCCCCAAGCCCTACTTAACACAGGGGAGGGGTTGAGTTGAATCTGCAGCTCCTAGAACTGAAGCACCTAGCTGAACCACTGGCCTATAGCTGGAGTATTGGTTGTGCTGTCACTCAAACAATAGTTAATTCATGTGGAACAGTTTCCACAGGGAAAAGCAAGGGAGCTCCCCAACCCTATACACCAGACACCTGGGTGGCTGGAGCCCCTGTTCACAGTCCTCCATGAGAAGTAGAGGGCAGATTTGAACCCACCAGGGCTGCTACCTAGGTGAGCAGCCTCTCTCCTGCATTATACAGGGAGAGACAGGTTTTTGTCAGCCCAATAAGATTGAATTAGTATAACAGCTTCAGCAGGGTGGGAACCCGAGACCGGTACTGTAAGGTAAGTGTCCATGAGCCGGTGGAGTGATTGGGCTTAGTTCATAAAGCCTGCCAGAGCATTCTGTGCTTCCACTCTGTTTTCGTCCTGTGCTTTCTCCACATCTTCAAATGCTTCCGTGCATGTTTGCGCTTTCTCCAAGATGTCTCTTTTCATCTTCTGGGACAATATCATTGTCCATGGAATCACCAAGTGCCATCCATTTCAATTGATTTATCAACACATTTCTACGTTTGAGCTTTAATGCCATGGTTAGATGGCTCCCTCTTACAGCATGGCTGATGACTGGAGCACTACAGAGGCTACTTTCCACAAGGATGTCTTCAAACCCACTGTCTTGCATCACATTGCCTCCATCACACATGAAATTCACTGCACAATGCTTGTCTCCCATCTCGAGGTGGTCATTGTCCAATTCATTTTGATTCCTCCATTTCATCAACCGTGCTTTGCAGGAGATTGCTTCATCATAGATGACACAGGTCCAGTCTTGGCCCAGAGACTGGACCATAGCCTGAAAATATTTCATCATGGTGTACGCTGTATTAACATGAGTTGCTGGTGCAGGAATTGTTGAGCAGTAGCCAACATTTATAAAATAGCAGACAGCCGACGTCTCAAATCATAATGACAAATAATGGCCAATATGTTGATGTAATACATGGTAAAAAGAGGCTCCTACTGTCATGTGACTACAGACTTTTGTTTAACTGAAGGCAAAAAAGTACAGGGAAATGCATAAAATCTGTGACTTGGGGCTAAACAGGTCCCAAACACTACTATTTTAGGTACATAGTTGCATTATCAATTATATTTAGAAGATTTCTGCCAATTTTGGTCAAAATTAGCCAATGTTGCTTCCAGTTATGGCCCTTTTTGGGATTTTATGATTTTTCCAGGTTGGATGCCAGATAACCTTTAAACATTATGTGATGGGGAAAACTGCACCATTTCCAGCATCTCCATCCACCCTAGTGATGACCACCAGCTCTGTGCCTAATGTGTGACCGCAATGACATTTTTCTAGCTG